CGTCTACCGACAAACAGGTGTCGGATACTAAGGAAGGTTATCTCTACCAATCCTTCAGCCGCCCGGGACAGGCACACCGTATTGCCTCTATCAATGAGTTGCAGCGCTGGAAGGAAACGTATCAATCGGCCGCCTTGCCCGACCAGTCATCTTCCTTTTCAACAGCGGGCCAATATCCGCAGGAATCGGCGCAGCTTCCCATGCATGCTCCTTCACAGAATAGCATGGAAGATACCAGCAGCGGGCAAAGTGTACTGAATGTACAAGGCTCATTGCTGGTCACCACTGTAAAATCAGGTCTGCTGGTCGTACACCTGCGGCGTGCGCGGGAGCGCATTTTATTCGAGCGCCTGGAAGCTTCCTGGCAGGAAGAACAAACACCGTCCCAGCGCCTGTTATTCCCCATTAGTATAGAGTTGCCACCGGCAGACGCCGCCGTACTGTCTGAAATGCTGGCCGACCTGAAACGTATTGGTTTTGAGATAGGACCTTTCGGAACGGGCACTTATGTGATACAAGGCATGCCAGCCGGCATCATTCCGGGGCATGAGCAGTCGTTGATCGAAGAGATGATCGAGCGGATGAAACATGAATCCGGCTCGGCGGCAGATGTCAGGGCGCATCAATTACTGGTGGCGATGGCGCAACGCCTTTCCCGCAATAAAATAGCCACCTCTTCCCAGGAAGAGCTTCGCACGGTGATTGATGAACTGTTTGCCTGCGACCAGCCTGAATTTACCGCTACCGGTAAAAAAGTGTTCTCCGTCATGCCGAAGGATGAGCTGGACAAGTGGCTGGGTTAGATAATGACAACAGCCTCCCTACAAAACAACAGATTGCATTAAAATAAAAAACCACCGGCCTGATGACTGGTGGTTTTTCCTTTTTATAAATATAATGGCTTAAAGCCCGGTGATACAAAGCCCGATGGAGTAAGGAGTAGCTTGCGGGCCGGATCCGTCGCGGAAAACATTGTTGAAATTATAGGCGCCGAATACGCTGAAATTACCATAACCCGCACGTACCGTTGCTCCGAAGCGCCACTTCTCGAGGTAACGCTTGGAACCCACCTTTTCAACGGTCTTATTACCATCTACAGTATATACCGCCTTTGTATGTGCATTGACCATATAACCTACGCGGGCACCGATAGAGGCTTTAAATCCTTTATTACGGTTGGCCCGGTTGGAGAAGTACCGCAGCTCAAACGGCGCTTCCAGGAAGGCTGTTGTCAGCTTATATCTTTTATAGTCGCGCTCTTCATTTACAAACTGCACCCTGTTGGCCAGTACGCCGGTATCTTTAAAGCTGATCTGCTGATCTTTCAGGAAAATATTACTCGTACCGATGCCGATACCTGCGGCAAATGAAAAATGTGACTTCTGGATCGGGAAGTCATAACAGAGATACGCATTAAAGCCGCGACCTAAACCACCCGTCTTTACCGAGTCCGGGGTATTGGCCCAGCCATCATAGGTGAACTGCAACATCACAAAATCACGGGAAGGCTTTTCGATAATTGATTTTGCAGAAGCAGAACCGGCGGTGGATTGCTGTGCAAAAGAAATATTTGCAATCAGCAGCAAGCTGGCAGACAACAGCGTCAGGCGTTGAAACATATCATTAAATTGGTGCGCAAATATAGGCGGTGAAGCATGGACATTTTGTTAAAACATTGTATTTACCCCTATAACTCTTCATTTATTTAAGCTCCCGGGCTGCATCACTGGTTCAAACCGGCACAAACATTTAAAATAGCGTATCTTACCGACCGTCTTTGCATGAAATCGAGTACTATCCGCTTCCTGGTAATTATGGCATTGCTGGCCTGCGCCGGTATCATCATATCCCAGGTTTATTGGTTGAGGCGTGCGTTTGCATTACAAGAGCAAACCTTTAACCTGAATGTAAATGCTGCATTGCGCAATGTAGCCGCCAATATCTGGCGGGATAAAGATATTCAGAAACCTAATTACAGTCCTGTTGAACAGATAAGCCCCGACTATTTCGTAGTACAGACCAATGTTTTTGTAGAGCAGGATGTGCTGCAACATTACCTGATCTCCACATTTACCCAGCAAAATATTATCACCGATTTCCAGTACGGACTTTCTAACTGTGCCAATAGCGACTCGATGCACTATATCGGGTATTATCATATGCCGGGTACCCCTGAGCGGAATGCGGGTCTGAAACCATTTCCGCACCTGCAACGGGAAAATTATTATTTCGATGTTTATTTTCCGCACCGCCGCCAGTTTCTGACGTCGCAGTTATCTGTCTGGACCTTATTCTCCTTAGTGCTGCTTTGTTTTATCGGCTTCCTGGGCTACCTGCTTTTTATTATTTTCAAACAGAAGAGATTGAGTGAGATCCAGAAGGACTTTGTAAATAATATGACGCATGAGTTTAAAACGCCCTTGTCCAGCATACAGTTGTCTGCGGATGTGCTGAAAGACCCTGGGATCATTAACCAGCCGCAGCGGTTGTTAAATTATGCAACGATCATTTCCAATGAATCGGCCCAGCTTACGGCCCAGGTAGAACGTGTGTTGCAAATGGCCCATGCCGAAAAAGGACAGCTTCAATTAAAGATGACCCGCTTTGCCTGGCAAGACCTTTTGCGGGAAGAGATGAGTGCGGTACGCCGCTTTACCAATGATGGGAAACAGCATGTCCATCTCCAAATGCCGGATGAGCCGGTTTATTTTGAGGGCGACTTCCTGCACCTTAAAAATACGGTCAGCAACCTGATTGACAATGCCATAAAATATTGCAATAAGTCTCCTGAAATAACGGTAATATTGACGGTCACCAAACAGGAAATACGTATTTCCGTAGCAGACAATGGCATCGGCATTGATCCGCAGCATCAGCGATTTCTTTTCGATAAATTTTACCGGGTGCCTACCGGCAATATCCATAATGTAAAAGGATTTGGTCTTGGCCTGAATTATGTACGCCTTATTATGCGTGCCCACGGTGGAACTATAAACTGTGAAAGCAAGTTGGGTAAAGGCAGTATATTTACATTGATCTTTCCACATAGTTAAAAAAAAGACCTAATTACTATCGTTGATATGAAAGCAAAAATCTTACTGGTTGAAGACGACCCGACGCTTGGATTTGTGGTGAAAGATAACCTTGAAGTGAACGGTTATGAAGTGATACATGCCTCGGATGGAGAATCCGGCTGGCAGATGTACATGAAATATAATTTTGATGTCTGTGTGCTGGACGTTATGCTGCCTAAACGGGATGGCATCTGGCTGGCTACGCAAATCCGGAAAAAGAATGAAACGGTGCCCATCTTATTGCTGACGGCAAAGAGTATGGATGATGATAAAATTGCCGGCTTTAAGAGCGGAGCAGATGATTATATCACCAAGCCGTTTAACATGCAGGAGCTGCTGCTGCGTATTGAAGTGTTCTTAAAACGTACCCGGCGTAAAGATGACGATGCCCCGGAAGCATTTAAGATCGGCCATCTTACGTTTAACTACCGCGACCTTATTCTTTTTAATGACGAGCAGCGTCAGCAGCTGACCCAACGGGAGGCCGATCTGTTGCGTTACCTGGCCATGAACCCGAACCGGGTGCTGAAACGGGAAGAAATACTAATGAATGTATGGGGAAAGGAAGATTATTTC